AAAAAAAAAAAAAAAATCTTCCAATTTTTCATGACAACATACGCTTTAATTTCCTATTTCCTCTTTTCATTCATGTAACAAGGGTACTTCTGAGTAAACTACTCTTTAGATAATTTTTTAAAAGAAAATACTTCCATGATGGCAAAAAAGAAGGTGCTTTTCGACATTAAATTATTCTCATCTTACCGGTTTCCTCGGCATATTTCCAACAACGTTTAAGATCAGGAGTGTGAAATAAAAAATATAATCTGCAATTAGCAACCGTAGTCACAGATAACCCTTCTTCATTCCTGCCAATATTTTTGTCATTAAACTGACCACTAAATGACTTTTTCCTTACTACACCGATTACTTCTTTCCAAAAAATCTTAAAAAATATATCTTAACTACAACGAGAAATAATCACGTTTTGCAATTGCTTAAATTTTCAAATACCTACTACAGCAGAAAAAAAACAAGAAAACTAATCTAAATGTCAGCCCAACTCTAACATAAACACCATAATAAAAATTTTAACTAGCCCGATAAAAAAATATCATTGCGTCAAACATTTTATCTTAAAGCCGAACATTAATTACTCACTGAGGCTCGTGAAGAAGTAAGCGGTAAGCGTCTAGTTGGTACGATATGTAATACCTACCCAAAAAAGACTAATTGTGTTATTTAAGAATCAGAAATATTATAAAATCATACAACAGAAAAATAACAGAAAAGAATAATTCTTCTAATTTAATATCGATGTCAACTGATAGATGGCCAGGACACTTGCCACTTCAGCTGAAAACAGTTTACAATTAGACCTCAAGCATCAGCTGAAGCAATCGTAAGGAGGAACAAAAGGTGCAACTTTAGTTTTTGTTTCGTGCCCCAACATTCTTTGTTCGTGTCTTCTTTTTCTGGTAAAAGTATGGTGTAAACCTCATTATGTTAATCAAAACCACATTTCATTTAGCCATAAACAGTTTCTGCTCTGATTTTCTTATAGCTGGTAACTGCTGGTGAATTTGAACCGATAGCCTCAAAGCAACTCTTTGTAGCCTCAGCTTCCAGAAATTTCATTTTCGCAGAAACTCAGGTAAAATTCCTCTGCAAAAAACCATCTTTTCCATCCTTTACCTGACAGAAAAACTGTCTAACACACTTTAGTTATATAGCAGCTCACTTGTAGCCTACCTTCACTACAAGTGCAAAGAGGTAAACCATCACTACAGAACAGATAAAGCAGGTCCATTTTAGTTCCGCGATGCTACCTTACAAAAAGCTCAACTGATCTTAATTACCAATGATCTCTCCGGCTCATTACCGTCCCACAATAATGCTGATGTCAAGTGTTCTTAAACGTAAGCACACACAGTAACGAGTTCACCATACTTCAGAAAATTCACTAAGGTCTCATTCTGTTTAAGACTGCTATCTCTGTCAAGCAAAATTTGTTGCAGATTTGACAAACAGCAGAGCTTTAAAAAATTCTCATGTTAATAGAAAGATAAGCTCCCATAGCTTTCTACTGGTTTCTCTGTCTAGCCTCTCATTTTAAAGAGTGCGACATAACCTGCTACTACGTACTTAAAAGATCTGGTTTCTTCTAATCCCTTAATTAAATGTGCTAGCATTTCCACTTCTCCACAATCCATCTCAATATTCTCGTTGCTTTCTTGTAAATTTTGCAATAAAATTTTCCTCTCTGCCACTCCCAAATATATTTGATTTATAATACGTATTCCCGCAACATATGTTCCAAGCCCCGAAAATTCTGGGCAATAATCAACTGCCGAAAAAGAACTTTTTTTAATAATCTCCTAGCCTAACGTTCTCGTAGCCAGCAAAAGCAGTCATAATGCTTTGGGTTCATGTCCACCTTCTCGATAGCGTGATTTCAGTAAAGATTTCATGTAAAAAAACTTTACAACTCCTTAAACAAAAGACACGAAGACTACCCTACTGAAGATAGCGTTAAAGTTAACCCTTGTACGGCAGCACCCTTGACTGCCACCTTATACCAAATGAAACTTCCAAATTTTCAAAAATTTTAAACCGTCCAGCATTCTAATTGCAGAAGGTGTTATAAAAAAAACTGCGAATTAATTCATACAGTTACTGCTTTCAAGTTGTTCAAAAATGTTTAATTCTTCCTGGATTTTCCCCCGTTGCTCAATTTTGCACTCCTTAACTAGTTTTAAAGAGCAGCAATCAACTGTTCAGACATTGTGCATTTTTTATGTAGATGTTTCGTTAGCAACAACAGTGAAACTCTGTGTCATCTTATAATACAGAGTAAAATACAAAAAACTTAGTCTAAATTTACGATGAACAGTCATGAGTACTTTTAAAAATAACAATTGCTTAGCAGCAAAAAAATAAAAAAAAGATGTAAAAAATGTAAACGCTGCAAACAAACTTAAACTAAAAGTCTGTCCACACTTAAAATATCGTACTCAGCGAAAATGTGGAATTTTGATAGAAGAAAAATTGAAAAATTGAGTACATTCATTTCTCAATAAGGATCCATCATAAATTAGACGTCTAAATTTTAACAATCGAATGACGAAGTTATACAATATCCTCCCCAAAGACTATCAAATTATTGAAAAAATAGTTTTCGGTTCTCTATCAATTAACTTCCGTCCCTCTGTAAAACTTTAATTTTAAACCGTATAAAAATTGAATTTTCAGCCATTTTTCTTTCTAAATCCTATAACTTCTACAAAAAAAAAAATGCTACCCGGTTAGAATGAAGAATGGAAAAACATCAACAGTTATGCAAAACTCTGAGCAAAAAATAGCTTCACATCGCCTTGTAAAAGCACATAAGCAAATGATTAATTAATTATCATCTATGTATAAAAAAAAAAAGCCAAAAAGATTGTCAACGTTCAAATTGTTCCTTTAATTCACTACATGTTTAGCCAAAAAAACTACTAAAATCTATATCGGAAGATAAATCTTCAACGATAACAACATTTTTTCTGTACTTTCTGACTAAGAGCTGTTCTAAAGGAAAAAAAACAGCGGAATTTTGCATATCCAGCCAAGTTTTTTCTTGTTTAATAATATGACAACGTAATCAGACCGTAACACGGTAAAAAGTCAAAATGTTACAGTAAAAATCTATTTCTTCTATAACATCAAAAAAAAGAGTTCTTTCTTAACACAACAAAGATTCAGAATTTTCAAAAATATACCATTAGCAGCAATAAAGATGTGTCGCTAATCGGCTTCCTTTTTTTTCCTCTACCTTTCCGCCTGATAAGCATTCAATCATGAAATCCACAAGTGCTACAAATAGCCTGACAAAAGGCTGTTTTGCACATGGAACCTGTCAATTGGAATAACAAACACTTCGATAGACAATCATTAAGAGCACTTCTAATACCTTTCGTGCCATCAGCAGCCGAGTATTTGCCAACCAAATCAATGTAAACGATGCAAGGCCAAGGAGAGACTGCACCTGGCTGGTTGCCAGAACTCCAGCCAAACCCAAAGGCTGTATTGACAGCGATATTGGTGCCTTTCGGTGGTGAATTGATCGGCAGCCGTTCCTGGTATTGGCGTACAGTTCGCTGATGCTAATCGTTTGATGAACGAACCAATCTTGTTGTTGTTTTTTCTCCTTTTGGTTGATCAATGTTTTTGTTTTCCTTCCTGTGATTTCACTGTATTCAAGCAACGCCTTAGTATCCGTCACTCGCCGCAGATTTTATGGTTTAACAACAGTATCACATTTTTTAAAAATGTTATTCCCTGTTGTTTCGTCGACTAAATTGTCGGTCATTATGCATCTTTTTGAGTGAAATACTGTTGAAGTTCAAACATGGCCAACACTAAGAAGCTGTATTTGTTTAGTTCTGTGTACA